TGTCATTTCCAAGGTCACTTCAGCATGGTGAGAGAGGAAGGGAGCACACTGCCTTGTCACTGCCTCAGCCTGGGAGTTACGTGTGTCCTTTTGCTTCTGATTCTTTGGCCGAGAGGACTCGTGTGGCTTCCACTTGACTGGAGACAGTACACGTACTGCCTGGCTTTGACCATTCTCACAGACGTTTTGAGCCTCAGCGTCTTCATCTGTAAAATGGGGAAAATACCTACACAGCCAGGCAACTGGCAGTATCAGAAGTCATGATTGTGAAAGCATCTGGAAAAGGCCAAATACTATGTATATAGTTTTAAAAGTAGCAATTATCATTGTATTTTAGTGACGATAATAAAATGGCAATATTATCCTCATGCAAAATAATTAATTAGTTATATTTAAGTTACCAAAAATAATGAAAACAGTTTTGGAATGAAAGCATCCCTGAGACTCCCTAGTTGAGTTCACAATCAGCTTTGACCCTGCATTTAATTTACTTTTAGCAGAAAATGTAGTATATGATTACCTTTAGAATGTCTCATTTCAGATGAAAAAAATCAAGCTTTTAGGGTAATTGCAAAATTTTTAAAGGGACCTCAGTGAGAGCAGAGAAGGAAGTTTCCATGGCAATAACTGAGCAACACAAAGGGAAGGGAAGAGAGAAGGGGGAGCATTTAATGAGCACTTACATGATGGGAAGCGGTGCGCTTGGCACTTTGCACCCTATGTCTGTCTAAAACAAGGGCAAAAGCAATGAGATCAGCGTGATGGGCACAGTTTTATAAAAGAGCAAACAGACCCAAAGGTAGAGAGACTTTCTTCAGCCAACCATTTAGAATGTGGCCCAAGTGGCTCAGGCCATGATCCCAGGGTCATGAGATGGAGCCCCACATCCAGCCCCACACTGAGCATGGAGTCTGCTTAAGATTCTCTCTCCTTCTGCCCCTCTCCGCATTCACGTGCTCTCTTTCTCTCTCCAATTATATATATATATATATATATATATATATATCCCTGAGTGGGATATGAACCCACTTCTGCCTGAAGCTAGGGCTCAGGCTCTCCCTGCACCATTGAGTCTCCCACAGTTGAATCTTCTTTCCACTTCCTGCGCTGAGCATACCATTTCTGTGGTCTTACTCCTCTGTTTCCAGCCTTTCTCGGGGCTTCTCTTTGGTGAATACACAAACCTCCTTCTCTAGCCTGACTTCCCACCAGCGCACCCGAAGCCTATTTCCCTCTGACAAGGTATTCCCTTAGGTCCATTGCCTTGCCTACCCAGAGTTCCTCCTTGTAGGAGAAAGCCTATGATGCAAGTGGACAGAGTGTGGCGGTCGGGGACGGGGCGGGGGGGGGGGGGGGGAGGGTAGCAGAGTTGCCATTGGCAACCATCCTAGCCAGGATCACCCTGGGCAAGCCCAAGCCTGGGGAAGTTGTGATGAGGGGCAGAACACTTCTCTGGTCTCCAAGGGTCTCCCCACAGATTGCTTGTTCGTTGAAAGGGGAAAGACAGTAACCGTACGGTAGAGAAAATAGATGATAGTTTGTGTGATGAAAATTAATGTTCGCGCTGAGGAGCAGATCGCTTTCACATGCCTCTGGATGTGATGTGCTGAGAAGGAAACACCATCTCATAGGAGTATTGCTGTCGGGATGCGTAACCTGCCTCGAATCAGAGGGAAACAGCAGACAAACGCACCCTGAGGACTAGTCTACAGCTGGCCAGGATTCTTTAAGGATGCCCATTTGTGAAAGGGAGAAGGACTGAGGAATCCTCCAGATCGAAGGAGACAAAGCGGAGGCGGCCGCTAGACGGACCAGATCCTGTACCGGAAAGGGAAGGGCTTTAAGGACGTTACCGGGACAATTGACAAATATGGGATATTGCAAGTTAGATTAAATGAAAGTCTCACAGCAATGTTACATTTTCTAAATGTAACGGTATTGTGGCTCAGAGAATATTTCTTGCTCTTAGGAATTACACACTGAAATATTTGGAAGAAAGGGTGGGATGCATATAACCTACTTTCAAATGGCTCAGAAAAACAAATAATCATTTTGGACTTAATCGTTTACACACACAGCGTGTATGTACATGCAGATGTGTGCGCATGTGTGGGGATATACGGGGGGAGGAAGAGGGACAGAGAGAGGGGAGAGAGAAAGATGACACAACAAATGTGGCAAAATGTGAAAAATTGCCGAACCTGCACAAAGTATCCTGAGAGAAAGAGACTGTCTTTCCAGCAAGTCAACGAGCTTTAGAAGCGTAAACAAACTGAAGTTTCCGTGAGTAGCGAGCGATTGCTACGTGCCCCTCTTTTGCCATGGATTGTTCCAGGCGGGTCGTGCTTAGACATGAGGAGATTGAAACAGGTTGCTTACTCACTCCAAGGTGTGCCAGGGTCCTGGGTTTGAATTCAGATCGCGTTCATTTCTCTTCACCACAAGAAAGGACAGTTCACATCACATCTGGCAGGAAGAGGTGAGGCTCCAGTCTCCAGCTCACAGCCCCCCGGGAAGGTAGAGAAGAAAGATAGACAAGTCACTAGAGACCAGAGTGTGCTGAGCTATGTACTGCTGAATTCTTCCAGCCAGGATTGTGCCACACCCGCTGTGTTCCAGATGTCCCGCCAAGCTCTCCGGGACCAGAGCTGTGGACGGCAGAGATCCGGGCTCCACGCTCCCAGAATTTCCATCGCAGTGGACAGACGTGGCTGATGCTGGTGACCACCAGCACCAGAAGGGCACCTGTTCCAGACCGGGAGGTTCAGGCAGGCTTCCCAGAGGGTATCTGACTGCTCTCTCAACAGATTTTCCAAGATGGAAGGACTTGGGCAATCTTGCTCACTCCGGTGGTCTAAAAACCTGGCACACGGGGAATCTGCTATTGGCGAATCTGGAAAAAAGATATACAAGTGTTTTTTCTCTTGGGTTTAGTCAGCGGTAGTCCCGATGGGATGAATGAATGAATCAGTGAATCAATCAACCAGTCGGTCAATTCCCACGTGTGACTGCAAGAGCCCAGGGGGGTCGGCTCTCCTAGGAGGTCAGCCTCCCTGCCACCTTTCCAGGTAACCGAACGAACGAGCGAGCGAGTTGGAGCAAGCCCGCCCTTCGCCCTTCCCCGCCTCCAGCAGCGAGTGGCAATGGCGGTGATGGCAGCTGGTGACTAACCACAGCCCTGGGGGTTCCTGTTCTCCCCAGCTTCCTCCTGCGTTCTGCTTTCAGACGAGAGGAAATGCTTTATTAAGAAAAGCCATTCAGATCTCCCTCCTTCTCTCCTTTTTTTCTTCCCTGAGTTGCTCAACACTGGTTTAGGCTCTTATGTTCACAGAAGAGAACAAAGCCGCCTTCCCGAGGCTGTACCTCGGGTTTCGTTCTTACCAATGCCCAGGCGAAGCCAGCAGCCCGTGGGCCTTCGTGGGCCAGAAACAAGGATGCTTGCAGCCCCCTCCGAAAAATCAGAATCATCTCAATAACGAAGCAACGTGCTTGCGGTTTGGGCTCAGTGGTTTCCCCGGCATGATCTCATCTCATTAACAGAGTAAACTTAGAAAATGTCAGAGACTCTGGTAGATAAAACGGTTGAGGATTTTTCCGGCTCCTTTTGGTGAAGACCCAGGAAACTGGGGAGGAGCCTGGGGCCGCCCCTGAGGGAGAGGAGGCCTCCTGGGGGAGGAATCCCAGCCGGCTCATTCCTCGTTCCTTTGCTCAGCCATCCATGCCAACTGGCTTGCTTACTCTTGCTCCTTACACCGGAGTTCCAGGAAACATTCCGCTGGAGAAACAGAGCTCACGGATGGGGGGCGGGGTGGGGAGGGGGGAAGGTTTGGAGACCAATGCTCCCTGTGAATACCTTCATGAACAGATTCAGGCCGAGAAAGGGACTCGTTTGCCTAAAATCACAAAGCTGGTTAGTGATAGAGCAGGAACTGAACCCTCATCCTGGGTATCATTCTGTCTTCTCCTCTAGGGCATGAAATTGGCAAGACCAATCACAGTGAACGGAAAGACCCAATGATTTGGCCCAAGGGGGATGAGAATAATTTAAAAATCCCCGAAAGCTGAAGTTTCTGGCCCCTCCCCCGCCCCCCCTCGCCCCCCACCACGTGCCTGTGCCATGTGAGTTCCCTGACTCTGGGAGGTCGTAGACGGTCTGGTGCAGGCATCTTTCCCTCCAGGAGAGAAGGAGTGATATAAGTAACATCCTTTCCCCCTCCAGAAACTTCTCTGGGCGTAGTGGATCACCACCATCTCCTTTGGCTGCTGAATGTTCTTGCAGTTAGATAATGCCTAGCAACGTTTACCCCTGTCCCCACTAACTAAATTGAATCCGAGGTGTCACTGAAGCCACGGAGAGGAGCACTTTCTTCCTAATATGAAGTGACAAGGGTTCGTAATTTCCGAGCTGTTCCAAGCTGCCTGGCTGGGGGCACAGAAAGACAACCAGCTTCCAGGTGAGGGAATCGAGCCTCCCCCGCAACTTTCAAAAACCACAGAGGAGAGCAAGTCCCCAAGCTGTGCAAAGTTCCTTTGAGAAGGCAGACGTGGGTCTATTTTAGCTCCTTCTGGAGAGGGAACAGTGGGCCGGGAGAGGCTACCTGAGGGCACGGCCACCGGAGTGTCACTCTGTGCCATCTAGAGGCGCTGGGCCAGGAGGGGGAGGCCAGGGTGATGGCTGTGCTGAGTCAGCGGTTCCAGGATGGAGAAGGGACATTATTCCCAAGCATTAGGCGAACCCAATACATGTAAACACACGTCCTCATCCTGTAGAGAAGATACTGTTTACAGCTTCCTTCCTTGTAACTTCTTGGAGTGGTTTTCATACTGTCTGTTCTTTCCTTCCTTCCCAGTGATCTCTCTCCCTCTCCCTCTTCCTCCCTCCCTCTGTCTGTCCCTCTCCCTGCCTCCTTCCCTCTCTCTCTCTCTCTCTCTCTCTGTCTCTGTCCCTCTTCCCCTCTCTCTCTCACCAAAACAATACCATTTTTCCACTGTTCAATCCCTGCAGAGAGCACCGATTTTATTTATCTTTAAAACAATAACAACAGTGAAATTACCCAGAACCATAAAAGCCGTTAAGAACTGAAGTCTTGAAGTGTGGAGGCTCCGTGAAATTATCCTGATTTGATGGATTCCGGACTTGGGCACTGCCTTCCTCCGTCGTGGGAATCAAATGTTATCTTTTCGTTTTGAAAGAAGGGATTATATTGGTGTTTGGTGACGTCTATGGGTTGTTTCCTTTCTGTGAAGACAGAACGTTCATTTCTGCAGTCACAGAGGAAATTAAGGAATGTGTACTCAACGTTGCAGCTCAGGGTATGTATTAATATTCCTAGTTTCTTTTCTGCCCTGACTGCCCAGTGGAGCAGAAAATAAACAAATCTTGTTGGTTGGTATACTGCAAGATGATAATATTGACCAAACAAACAAAATGGAATGACCCGTCCAACTTTCCACATGACCCAGCGAGTAGAGTTGACCCACATGTCTTACTTTTTTTTTTTTTTTTTTTTTTCCCAAATCACCCATTTTGGAATTCACCTGGGTTTGACTCTGCTCTCTTACACCTGCTGAATCTATAAACGTAAGCATGTTGCCTTATACCTCTGAGCCTCACTTTCTGAACATGTAAAACGGAGCTAATCCTAGTACTCCCTAGGGTACCAGACCGAACAAGACACTGTATACTTTAGTATGATACCTTGCGATACAAGCCTTATATGATCCCTTACGAGCCCCCGATACATGTCACTCCTTTTAATTTCACAGAGCTACTGCTAAAGTTTACCGTATGGGGGGCAGATTTGCAGCTCCTGAGCCACAGCATGGGTCCCTGACCTCGGACAAGTACAAAGAGCTCATCAAGATCGTGTAAATGGTAGGCATCGGGCATAAAGTGCTGGCTCGCAATCAGGGCTAATTTTGCCTCCAGGGGACCTTTGGCAATGTGTGGCGATTGGGGGCTGTCACCACGGGGGAATTACACAATTGGCATCCAGTGGGCAGGAGGTAGGGATGCCGCTGAACATCTTACAATGCACAGAACAGCCCCTACTGGAGAGGGTTCTGTGGACTAAAATGTTAACAGTGCCAAGATTGAGCAGCCCTGGGTTAAATCTTTGTATTCTGACACCAAATCAGGAGTTATTTTCAATTCACCTTACGTGTCCCAGAGTACCTCAAAGCACCTTGTAAAACGAAAGCACTATTTTTGTTATTTGAAAGGCAGTGTAATATAATAGAAAACTTTAAGGCTTGACATATCTGGGTCTATTCTCAGCTCTCTACCACTTATTAACATTTAATCGGAGTGACCTCAGGCAAAAATTAACTCCTCTGAGCCCTGGTGTCTCTGTTTGTGAAATGTAACAGGATGTTCAAAAATGGGAAATAATATAAGTCCACGGCTGAGAGTGGTACCAGTCCACAGAAGGGGTGCCTTCGTGGGAACCATGACAAAATTATCGTTATCGTTGACCAACCATTTATGGACGAGAGTACAGATACGTGGGATAAGTTTCATTTTTTTTTTTAATTTTTTTTTTTAACGTTTATTTATTTTTGAGAAAGAGAGAGACAGAGCATGAAGGGGGGAGGGTCAGAGAGAGAGGGAGACACAGAATCTGAAACAGACTCCAGGCTCTGAGCGGTCAGCACAGAGCCCGACGCGGGGCTCGAACTCACGGACCGCGAGATCGTGACCTGAGCCGAAGTCGGCCGCCTAACCGACTGAGCCACCCAGGCGCCCCAAGTTTCATTTTTGTCAGCAAATATTTGAGCACCTACTATGTGATAAGCACCAGAGGTGCAAAAATGAACCAAATGGGAAGTTTCCTGCCATGGTGGCATTTACATTACAGATGAGGGGAAATGGAGGAGACGGAAGGATAACGGAAGAAATTCTAGATGGTGGTCCGGGAGGTTTTCTGGGAGGAGGAGAGATCAGAAGGGTGAGGAGGCACAAGACTGAAGGGGAAGGAAGGGCACCCTACAGGGCAGGAATAACAAATGCAAATGCATCAGCCAAGTGGCCTTTGGGGTAAGAAAGTAAGGATGTGGGGGCATGAAGGAGTCAGAAGAAGACAGTAGAACGGGGGTCTCTTCACCCTGTAGAGGACCATGGGGAGGAGTGTAAGAGCGATAATGAATTATCACTTAGCCCCCAGTAATGCCCCCTTGTAGGTTTCTACCTCCAAGAATGAACTGTGAGGTGTTATCACCCCAGAATCCTGCCTTGAACAGAAACCATCAACTGACTTGAGTTCTAATGCCAACTCTCTAGTGTGGGGCTGTGTTACAAAGAAACATAATGTTCTGAGTTCCTGTAGGTCTGGTGGAGAGTGAGAGCCAAGAGGGATCTGCTTTCCATGCGACGGAGGTAAAAAGAAGTCAGGACGCGATACAGTGAGGGTTGAAATGTGCCTCTCCTGACCCCAGCAAAGTTTGGGGAACTGATCACTGGCAGAAGTAGACTGAGAAACTAAGCTGGTGTGGTCCTCGTTTGTTCTCAGCTTGGGGTTTGGCCAAGGCAAAAGCGGGGGCCTGAAACACATTCAGAAAGATTTGGGGGAAGCCGATGGCATGGTTCTCCAGCCACCAGGAGAAACGCTCCACATGGCCACACTCCGCACGGGCAGGGGTGGAGGGAGAAGCCTAGACAGTTGGCCCCAAGGAGCCAGTGACAGTGTCCAGAAGTTCCCCATTGACATGAGAAAGGGATGGAACATCGCCGAGAGCCCGGATGGTGCCCCAGGTGCTGGGGGTCATTCCCTGAAAGAGTCTGCAGTGTGAGAGGATGCTTGTCCCGCAGTGGAAAAGCCAGGGTCTGGAACTCCAATCGTGAGGTTCACATTGCTGACCCCCGGGCAGTCCTCAGATCCATCCAGTGCTTGGATCTATGAGCCCCTCCTCCTGTGCCCTGACACCATCTTGGTGAAAAATAGGGGTCTGGGGACAATAATCGGAAAGACTGTTTCACACTGAAAACATGACACTAAGGAAATGTGTTCTTCCAAAAAGATCACTTCAACTATTGGATAGGACTTTGCTTTCCAGATTGGACTAAATTTAGACTCTCCTCCACGACCCAGTGGACTAGAAAGACTAAATAAGAAATAGAAATAGCAAAGTAATTTTTTTGCATATTTTAGTGTACTATGAATACGTGTGAGCCCACAGCAGATAAAAATAAGTAGTTGAGCTGATATCAAACTAGAAGGTTCCCAAATTTGAGTTGAGCACAAAAGCAAATTGTCTGTTTTTCTAAACAAAAGGAGAAAATCAAGTCAACATCAGATACAAAAAGAGACTATCCTTTTGCAAGAGGACCACCTTCTCGATGTACCTTGGGGAGGTTTAATCTTGCCCTTTGCGCCCGTCTATTCCTTTTCTTTGTCTTTGCGGCTGATGCCCCCGGTGGTAGGTTTACTTCTGAAGGGGTTTCAGTGTATGTGGAAAATCAAATATATTACTTGCATTTTCTTTAATGTTCAAAGGTAATTACACTTATAAATATATTAAGTGAAATTTCTCTAAACATTTAAACTTACCCAACTAATAGGTCAAAATGTAAACTGTACTAATCCTCTTACACACTTATTTTTTTAATTTTTTATTAAAAATTTTTTTTAACATTTATTTCTGAGAGAGAGACAGAAAGACAGAGAGAGCATGAGCAGGGGAAGGGCCGAGAGAGAGGGAGACAAAGAATCTGAAGCAGGCTCCAGGTTCTGAGCTGTCAGCACAGAGCCCGACGCGGGGCTTGAACCCACGAACCGCGAAATCATGACCTGAGCCAAAGTCTGACACAACCGACTGAGCCACCCAGGCGCCCCTGCTCTTACACATTTAAAAGTTAATTACAAACCTTAGTCAAATTCCTGTCTCAAAAGAAGTCTAAGCCTAATGTGTCACGCTCCCTTAAGTGCTTCAAATACCATAAAATAGGCATGATATTCACAAAAATTATCACAACCACTGTAAAATGTATTCATATTGATATTCTTCCTTTGAGGAAATTAGTGATTCTATAGATTTGGCTAATTCCTCCCTTATTTATGTACTTTAATATATATCTAATGCATCTTTCCAAGCTAACAGTTGCCTACCACACAAAAAGATTACACCAGACCTGCTGAGACTGCTGAGTTATCCCTGAATTGATGATTGATCAGGGATACAGTTCAGACTTTCAAAGTGACTCCAACCCAAGCAGCTGTTTCTTTGCCTAGGTTCCTTCCAGAATCGTGATTGACTTCTTGTGTCAATAAGAATGTCTCCAGATGTGTCCTTTCCTCCAACTTGATGTGTCTGTACTCTTCCTTCATGACACCTGACACACGGGATATGTTAGAGGCTGAATTGGATCCTTCTCCAAATTCATAAGTGCAAATTCTAACCCCCAACTACCTCACCACATAACTGTATTTGGAGATAGGATCTTTAAAGAGACAATGAAGTTAAAGCGAGGTCATTAAGGTGGACCCTAATCCAAATGACTGGTGTTCTTATAAAAGGAGGAAACTGATCTCGATGGGGCTCAGGGCAGGCTGCCCCAAAATATCTCAGAGTGGCATATTGACTATTTTGAATCAAAGTCACTTGAGAAATAACCAGTGCGAGAAGGACACTATCGCTCTCCACTCTGTCCTCATAAAAACAAGAAATAAATCTGCCATGTAAAAGGTACCTTCCCTGCACCAGGAGGTAGAGAGACATCCTTATCACTGCAAACAGGGAATCCAGGACCCAGATGCTGTGTAAATAAACTCAGCTTAGTCTCTTCACTAATGAGTACTAATTAGTACGCGAGCCCAAGTGTCTCTGTCTTATCAGTTCTACAAATTTATTGTTTCTTTGTCTAAAAGATAGAAAAACTGCCTGCTTTGGTCACTTCCTTGAGTCTTCTATTTCTATGACCTCCGGTAAGTACGAATTAAATTTGTTTTTAATCCTGTTAATCTGTCTCATCGGTTTAATTATTACACCAGCCTAAAAAAGAACCAAAAAGGTGAGGGAAAATTTTCCTCTCCCTGTTGGTCTCTGAGGAGTCTTGGTTCTCTTTAGCTCACGAACTACCTAGGACTGCAGAATGAGATGGAGCTTCTCAGTGTCCTTGCTAGTTCTTTCCACATGAGTTCCCGGGCACAGGAAGCCACCACTGCTGGACCACTCTGGGGACAGAAGGGAAATAAACGATTTCTAGTCTGGGTCACAAAGTTCGCAATTATACCTCAAATTTAGCTTTAGGATTAATAAGATCATTTATTTCTAGTTCAATATGCCTAACTTAGATTTTAACCCGCCACCCCAACTGAAATTGTGTCTCTTTTTATTTTTATTTTCTCGTTATGTTTCAGGGACCACCGTTTGTAATCACTCCATTGACTTTAAAGAATTCAAAGCACCTAGTGAATTTCCTCTATCCATCCTTTCTGAACTGTCAGTAGAGATACAAAGTAATTCAGCCTTTTATACAGATGTTATGAACACCATTGACACAGTATTCTGTATTGGGTCTCATACAGTGGTATTTCACCCAAGTCTATGGCTTAATTTTCTTTTTTTTTTTATTAAAAAATGTTTAGTGTTTATTCATTTTTGATGGGGGGAGGGGCAAAGAGAGAAGGAGACACAGAGCAGGCTCCAGGCTCTGAGTGGTCAGCACAGAGCCCGACGTGGGGCTCAAACCCACAAGCCATGAGATCATGACCTGAGCCGAAGTCAGGTGCTTAACCGACTGAGCCATCCAGGTGCCCCTGGCCTAATTTTCTAAGGATGCAATTTACAGGCTGAATGAACTTTATCCACTCTCTTCCCTCTCTGAACCTCACTTAACTCATCTATAATGTATTTTTTTAACGAGAAAAAAAAAAAAAAAAAGAAAGAAAGAAAGAAAAGAGAAGAAAAGGCCAGATATCAACTTCTGTGATTTGGGCATGAATTAAGTCTGGAATCAAATCTGCTTCATTAACTAAAGATCTTGACAGAGCGAACGTGGAGCTGAGACACCCCCGGTCCTCTAAAACCAAACACGAATGTCACTCAGCCATTCTTTCCCCATCTGAACCTGAAGATTAAAAGGCTTAAACCGTGTGAAGGCGCTTTATAAACTTAAACCATGTGTAAATTGTCTGCATTTTTATTACGAATTACCAATCATTGAGTTATTTCAGGCATTAAGGTGTTAAGGTGCTCACCTAAGTATCAGCAGCAGGGTCCTCACAAAGTCTGCCTACCCTGGATTTCCAATTCAGCACTCTATCCGCCACCCGATTATGCGGCATTTCAAATAGGAAAATGAATTCCATGGATGAACAGCAATCATTCACCCATGGGCCAGGCTCTCATCTCTCCCTGCACACCTGTCAGCAAGACACCCAACCAGAAAGGCCCCACTCACCTGAGATAAAGGCCAGTCCACTAAGGACTGTGACGGCAGGTGCTCTGCCTTTAAGTCGTGCAGCACAGAGCTGCATTAAGGTTGGAAGGCACGCAGACCTTCCTGGCCTATTTTATTCATGCCAGTTCCCAGGGATGACACTCCAGACTCTGCATCAGAGGCACACCTTTGTTTCCATTCCAGTGTCGCCAAAGAAAGAAAGCTCGTGCTACGGCGGTTTAATTAGGGCATGCAAATCACTATGCTCCTGTGTCCTCCGGTGCGTTCCAGGTCTTGCCTTATTTACAAGAGGAAAACACAGCTCGGCAAAGGGGGAGCATGAAAACAAACAAAGCAAGCAGCCTGCATTCCACGGCGGTGTGGTGGAGGGCGGTGAGGGACGAAGGGCCCCCGGCCTTGCTGCGACAGGTGCCCTCACGTGACATCATTCAACCTGCTTGGCTTGTGAGATGTCCCCTCGGCCTGGCTGAAAAGCAAAGAGCATGCACTGTGAACAATGCATGCCTTTAAATCTATTTTTAACGAGCACACGTTAAAGTATACTCTTCCACGTAGAGTTTCATGAGCCCTGACATAGGCCAGTATAGACACCACCGCCATCAGGATACACAACAGTTCCATTAACGCACAGCGTCCGCTTTGTATGCAAACCCTTTGTATCCCAATACTCCGCCTACCCTGTAACCCTGATGACCACCGTCCATTCTTTCTCCCTATAGCTTCACCTTTTACTCAATGTCATATAAATGGAAATCTGGCTTTGTCCATTTGCATACTATAATAATGTATTTTATATTCGACCCTGTTGTTGAGTGTACCGGAAAGTTGTTCTTGTTTGTGGCCCCAGGACATCCTATTGTATGGATAGAGCAGTGTGTGCATATACGGTCATCAGTTGAAAGACATTTGGGTCGTTTCCAGGCATTGGTGATAACCAGTGAAACGTCTATAAACGTCTCCACACTTGTTTCTGTGCGACCTAGGTTTTTACGTCCTTGGGTAAATACTTGGGGGTAGAGTTGCTGCATCGTGGGATGAGTGTGTGTTTAACCTTGTAAGAAATTGCCCAACTGTTTTCCAAAGTGACTGTGCCATTTTGCATCCCCATCTGCAATGGAGCCGAGTACTAGTCTACAACCTTACCAATGCTTCGTACTGTCAGGTCTGATTATCGTTGTTGTTTGCTACAGCAATGCTGGTGAGTGCATAGTGGCATCCTTTACTGGTTTTAATCTGCAGTCTCCTTATGACTAATGATGTTGTGCATCTTTTCACGCGCTGACTTACCATCATATATTTCCTTCAGTGAAATGGATGTTCAAACCTTTTGCCCAATTGTAAATGAGTTGCTCCCTTATTCCCAAGTTCCATAGATAATTTCTAAGCTTACCTTTTTTTATTGACTAATTTTTTGGTTAAGGAAAAGCTGAAGGGCCAGGAATATTATACCCAGAGTTGAAATCAGTGATGGCAAAAGAAAGCTAGATTTTAGGAAGCCCACATATTTAGAGTGCTGGAACAACGCTTCTGAACGTGTAGTGTGCACGTGAATCACCTGGGGATCTTGTCAAACACGAAGATTCGGACTCAGTGGGTCAGGGGTGGAGCCTGAGAATCAGGTGACACTGAGGCCGCCGATGCTGGCATCACATTTTAACCAACAAGCCTCTAACTGATCTTGGTTCAAATCCCTTTTTCTACCTCCCCAAGACCAACACTCATCACGTAATTAAATCTTCCTTTACTTTTGTGATGAGGGAGTAAAAGGCAGGCTGGGGGCCATGTACAAGCCTCCCAGGTGGGACGTGTGTGATATTCCTCAGGCTCTTCTGGATATTCAACAACAAAGGAAAGGAAAGAAAAGAAAAAAAAAAAAAAAGATTGACTGATAGAGATCACCTTAGTGCAGGATAAGAGTCTCCTTCCGTTTAAGGATATCTTAGTAAACTACAAGACAAGGGCAATCTTATCAATAGCTTAAGCTTCAGAAACTTCTAGACTCCATTTCCTGGGGCCTTCATATCCTGCGCCCCTGTTCTGTAGGGGACAGAGGCAAGAAGGAAATGGCGGGTAAAATCAAGCTTCCTTATAACCTGCAGCCCTTTGACAAAGACTTGAGGCAAATACAGAGCGTATCACTTCTCCAGGAACCCCCTACCATCCAAATGTCATGCCTTACTAGAGGGAAAACAACCTCAGTTTGACAATCACAAGGTCCCTGGTGTCTTCTGAGTCCACTCTATCATATGAAAGTCCTTCTGGAGGCCTCTCTTTTGCTTCCACCTCCCCCACCTCCATAGTATATAACCAGTCGCTCTTGATAACCCCAGTACAGCTCTTTCTGCCCAGGAGTCCCGTCCCCAGTGCTTCAATAAAATCACCTTTTTTTTCCACCAAAGATGTCTTTAAAAACCCTGTCTTGACCATTAGCTCAGAACCCCCACCACTCCAAAACCTCATCATTTGGAAGAAAAAGGAACATGAAATTAATAAACCCAGGAAGATAATTACATCTCTAGATGTACTGCTAGAACTTGAATAGGTAGGTCACAGACTTCCTATACCAAAACTCTGTCCCAAAGCATGATATCGTGTTGGATGATTTTGCTATTAAATAATAGAGGGATTTTCTCATTGAAGTCACTCCAACAAAGAAATAGCGACATATGTTCCTTATTAGGATCAATTATTTTTTTACCCCCCAAATACTTTGATGTCGTCACTGGTTAAAGTCAAAAGTTCCTGTATTTTTCTCCCCATGATGTGGAAGTGAGTGAGCTGTGTCCAACCTAAGACCTGATTTTATTGCCCAAGTCGGTATGAGGCTTGGAATTTGTCTCATTTTCTAATTTTGAAAGAATCGGAATCCTACTAGGCCAAAGAAGAAAATCATTGATAATTTGGGGAAATGCAAACACTTTTTGTGAGAGGGATTATCTATACTTTAGTGGAGAACCAAGATGAGCCGTTAAAATTCAGTAAGAAAATATTAAAACTTCTATTTCACTGAGTTTTAAATTAAAAACATAGGAAGATCACATTTCACTAATGTCGAGGGTATCGATTGACGCATGAGTCTTCATGTGTCTCTTTGACATAATGTGAAAGATAGGGAATTCCATTTTGGAAACAGGTTTTAAATATCTGAGGGATATTTTAATGGGGATGTTAACTAAAAGGAATGGCAGTCACAAAAGAAGGAGGGCTGGACCCATAAACCAACAAGGTGCCATAACAGAGAGGGCGTGGATAGGATTGCTTCAGTAACAAAAGAAGGCCTTCATGGGAGGGAATTTAATATTTAGAGTTTCAGTAGAGGAGAAAGAACAATGAAGGGAAACTGAGGAAGAGGCAAAGGAGTCAAGAATGGCAAGGGAAAGCAATCATGTTCCCTGGAGAAAATAGTATTTCAGAAAATAGTAGGCAGAGGGTCAAGAAAGACTGATTAACCACTTGAGTTATTGCTGGAGGGCTTAGTCAAATGAAGACAGAACATGCCTCTTAGATTTGGTTATATGTTCTGATGCCTTTGGTGACCTCAGCAAGACGGGATCTATCTCTAAAGATCCCACATGCAAAATGCAAGCACATTTATTACTGTTGTTAACAAAAGTTTGTTTTATTTGGGTGTAAGTTGATATACACATGCTCCAAGTATAATGTTTGGGAATTAAAGAAAGACAAAAGGTGACAAAAATGTGTTTTAAATTGATTACCAATAACCCTATCATCTAAAGGTAATTTCTATCATAACGTTGTGTGTCTAACTCCTATGTCTTCTTACTTGGCAGGGTTTTCTTTTTTAATCTCTTCCGTATAATTGTGATTATATTTTATGCACTGATTTTTCACTTGCTTTTTAACAAACACATTTTAAATGCTTTGTAAGCATAGCGTACCAGAAAGCATACCATATAGATATTCATCCCATTCAGCTTGTTTCCAATTTGAAGGCTGTTATAAATAAAGCTGAATGAGCATTTTTCTGTAGAAACTTTCCCCCCAATTATTTTGGATTGTTTTCTCACAGAGGAATAGCCATCAGGTAATTTCTAAATTATATGTTATGAGTACCTTCAAATTCTGAGGAAGGACCTATCTTACTTTTATTTTTTATTTTTATTTTTATTTTTTTTTAGAGAAAGAGCACAAGTGGGAAAGGGGCAGAGGGAGAAGGAGAGAGAATCTTAAATATGCTCCACACACGGGGCTCAATCTTGCGACCTTGCGATCATGACCTGAGCCGAAATCAAGAGTCAGATGCTTAACCAGCTGAGCCACCCAGGCTGCCCAGAATGTCCTACTTTAAATGAACACTGGTGTGCTGTGGGTGAAGAGAAGGATCCCAAGTTGACCCCAAAACAAGATAAACTTTTGGCAGTTTTAGTTCAGCAACTTCCATGAACAAAACTTCTAATTTCCTTGTTTATGATTTGGAATATTACTTTTCCATCCCTTCCTCCAAAGGTCTAGAACTTCCATAACAGCTGAGCAATAGAACATCGCTTCCAGTGTAAGGAAAAGGGTGAGAGAGAGAGAGAGAGAAAAATGGGAAGGGAAGGGAGGAGAGAAGAGAAGGCCATTAATTTCAAGAAAGTCTTTGAGTGTTGTGTAACTTAACTTTTTCTCCATATATTTGCATTGTCAAAAGCTGGACCATTGGCATAGTGGACACATTATCAATTATAGCTTCTCTGATAACCAACCACCCCTGCCTGCTCTCTGCAGGCTCCCATTTGGAAAACCTCTATGTGCTAGAGTCCTGGGGAGTAGCTCTGGCCCTTCACTAGAAAAGGAAAAGCAACCACAGCTTTCCTAGTCCTGGCTTGGGTCAACAGGAGGCCGGCAGGTGGACTGGGCTTAGCAAGTTGACATTTAATGCTAAGGTTTGGATCTTGAGAGAGCAACGCAATCGTATGGGAGCACAGATCGTTGTCATTGCCGTGGTGGTCTCAGCAGGCCAGCCCGTGCCTGTGTTTGATCTCTGCTGCAGTCCTCTTCCTGGTGATTACCCATCGCCCCGTCTTGTCCTCCCACCTGTCGTTGTTCCGTGATCCCTTGAAAACCCTTCAATAATCCCTCACCGATGTTAGTATGAGTCAGTCTTCGTTGCTTGTAAGGAAGTC